TGCTTATTCTAAATGCTCGAAGTTAAGATGTTGTGGGCAAATTCCTGAAACGTATGCAAGCCCTGAAATCAGATATCAAGTTCGCTATTCTGTTCTCCGACTTCATATTCAAGTTTCGGCAAGCTTTAATAACCCCCGAGCCAGAAAAGGCGAAATGTGAAATTTTGAGAACAAAGTCTGCATTATGCACGAAGGAAGGAGAAGGAAGGGGCTAGCTCATTTTCATAGTTGTTTCTTACTTTTTCGATGAGCTAACTTGCTGCAGCGAGCTTGAATTTACAAAGATCTTATAACTCGAAGACGAGCTGAAGCTATGAACTTAAGACTTCGAAAATTGATTCGCCACGCATTGCGCTATTTTATACCGTCCTAGATCCAGTCCCGATTGCTTCCGTTCATGAGGCTGGGAAGCCGACAACTCTATCGGCGACCTGAATTGTGATGAGGGGGCAGTTGCTTTCGTGTCTTGTTACGCGCCGATAACCTTAAATTGTTGGTCACTCTGGTCACTACTTCTCTTTGTTCGCTCTGATATAAATAGTCATAGCCTTATCCAGTAAATACTATATACGAAGGGGTGTGTACCATGGTTTTCTGTGATGAGAAGTATGACGATATTTTGTATTTTTATTGCTTAGATCTTTGCAGGTATCAGTTGTTGGACTTGAACGTGCGCTGGAGCAATATGTGACTGGCGCAGACTTCGACAAACCATTCGACCTGAAAGTGGTTCCAATCTCGACACTCCCATTGACCGTAACAGAAGTAAAGAAACCGTCTTTGTCTGTTGAAACAGTTCCAGAAAGAAAGGAAGAAAAAGTTTCACGTCAGGATATCTACGCAGGTCGGCAACAGCGTCTTTTTTTGAGGACTGTTATCAGAGAGGAATTTCGTTATTGTCATGCCTTATAATCTGTTGGAAAGACAACACGGGGTATTTGGTACAGCTCTTGAAAATTTTTCTAGTCGCACAGAATGATTCGACATCGCCTAGTCATCGTCTTGTTGGCCACTGCCAGCTCAGCTTTCTTTAGCCGTCTCGAGATATTCTTGATATTTGTCGAGCATCAGCACTTGTTCTCAAGCATTTTTATTTGTAGACCATGATAAGTATATTAACAACTAGGATAGGCCACAAAATTAGTTCATTAAAATTGTTTTTATTTAGTTTGGCTTATTTGTAACCGTTGTTTCGTAATGCAGATTTTCACATTTCCATTATGAAACATCAGTAAAGTATTTTATGTATTTTCGTGATTTTAATACTGTAATATTGATTTTTCCTGCACTAGTTCTTCCCCAGCGTTTGCCTTTTGCAGAACAGCTAGCGGCTATCCCGGCGTTCGCGAACTTGGGCCCACTATTCCGATCATCGCAGCCGGTAGCGCTCACTGATGAGATTACTGAATACAGTGTATCATGCATCAAACATGTCTTCCCACAACATGTTGTTATGCAGGTAAAGTTTTTTTTGAAATACTGTAGATTGATTTCAAAGTCTCGGTTTTTTCTTTTTTTTTTTGGTTAAATTATTTGCCTATAGGCAGCAATTTCTTTGCCTTTCGAAACTGAAAAAGAAATTGAAATTAAAATTTCAAATGTATAGAATATGATGTGAATGGTGAATAATGGTGTGCAGGGCTCAGAAACTGTTGGGACGAATTCGCCACTGAGGGAACCAGTCTCCTGCCGATTTGCTTATTCATTCTGATAAAAAATAGGCAGTTGGTACTGACACAGATCAGGAAGTCGGTACTGCCAGTAGCTTGCTGCGAATAAGTAAGCTGTCGACACTCTTCTTAAGGTGATTGCTGATGGCAGAGTTTTCTTCGAGCCATTTCCGAAAGCCTTCACCTAACATTACGGGTAGTATCTAAAGGAGAAATTTTATTCTGGTGCAAAAAATACTACCGGAAGCCATAACTCTGTGGTTGAGGTGAACTCAACGACAGTTTACCTTAACGAGTTCTCATTTGTGCGAGTTTGTCTATTAC